TGCTTAAAAGAGGGATGATGAGATTCTGAGGCTTAGAAAATATGTGAACTTTTTACAACTTTCTTAGTGTTGGTATTACTTGTTCATGATGCCCTTTATCACCTATGATGTAATTATGATGACCAAAGGGGCAATATGGTACTAAATTGGACTCAAGCGTGCATTGAGGCATGATGATGATGTGGGGCCAATCTAAACCCACCACTGATTGATTGAAAGGATTAGTAGATGCCTTTATTTTGTGCTTGCTTGAACAATTATGCTTACTGCTATTGGTCTGATCACCCTTAAAATATAACTTTATTAATACCTATAATACACAAATATATACCTTGAACATTTCTTTTCCTGTGGATTGGAATAGTATATAATCCCAAAGTCTCTCAAAGTTGTCTTCTAATCAAAACTTCCTTCTAGATGGGGCATGAACATTCCTTCTAGATGTAGGATGATAGATCCGAAGACTTCTCAATTTGAGAATCTTTCTGGTAATCATTTAAACCCATAAGTTGATATTGATATAGTATATATATATATATACAAAATTCAAACTCAAACATTTTTATTTACTAACTTTAAAATTGATGTTCTCATTATTATGTTACTCAAATTAGACAAATTTTTTTACCTTAACCAAATTGATCACATGCATTTAAAACCCTTTCTCCCAACAACTGATGAAGTAAGTCAAGCTAGGTTTTTGGACTCTTTTGAGCTTACCCAAGGACAAAGCAAAGACTTTTAATTAGTTGATAGCATGTTAATATATATTAAGGTTAAAGTGTCAACACTTGAACAGAATCATTGCCAGTTAAGTTTGAAGTGTCAATATGTGTGGACTTACTGTGACAGGTGATGTAGATCTGCATAGTGTCTCATGTTTAACTCGTGTCAAAAGCTGAACCAAGTTTGGAAATTGGAACCAAACAAGAAACCTTGTACTAACTCACCAAACATTTCTTCAAGTTTGGAAATTTTGCCAACCCACATCACATGAGAGAAACCTCTTACTAGGTCATGAAACCCTAAAATACCTTAAAATGCAAGATTAATAACACCGACAAAAATGACAAAATTGATTTTTGCAATTTTTAATTACAATTGAATCCTCTTCGCCTTAATTGATTTTGTTTTTTATGAACGTCAATTCCTCTATATATAATTAATATTATAAGATAACTTATCTTTTAGACTACATACAAATTTAATATATATTTACAATTTGATTTATAAAATACTCTTCAATTTTCCAATTAAATTGATTTATGAAACACTCTTCAAGTTTCTGATAAATAATAATAATAATAATAATAATAATAATAATAATAACAATAACAACAACACCGATAAAATGATGCTCACCAACAATCCAAATAGTTTTGAACAATACCAACTTAATATCAAGCTTATACTATTTTTTAATGCAAAGAATAACAAATATATATTGGGAAAAAATGCATATTAATCCCAACTCTTAAAATAAATTGAAGTTTCAATCTTAAAGTATGTCATTTTATTAAAATTCAATTTAAAATTTAAAAATTTATTTTATTAAATATTGATATTTAAATTTAGAAACTAAATTTTGAACTTTGAAATGAGATTTCAATTTTTAAATGAAATTTAAAATTTTAATTTTTTTTTTAGGAATCAAGGTTGATATACATTAACATGCACATATATATATATATATATACATACACACTTCCTAAGAGAATATCATATGACATTTCACATGGCTTCCTATGAGAATACCATGTAGGGCTTAAATTCTACATGGTACATGAGGTAAAAACTAATTAAAAACCCTTAAATTTTTGTAAGCAAACGAGCTTATTATTCAGATTGAAGAATGAAAGACAGCGGTAACTGGGCTTAATTAAATGGATGGAACTGTGGATTGGCCCGGGACTTTAGAAGATTAGGCCTTTAGGTTTTTTGTTGCTTTTTGGGCCAGAGACTATTGTGAACTGCTTGTTGAGTCATTTGATTTGGATTTTTTTTTGAGTAAAACCAAATGCAACACTGGAAACTTGGAGTTAAAAAACCTTACCGCGTGTTGTTCATGCTCATAAAAAGATAATCTTATTTCAAAGTTCAAACAAGTACATCAACATGACTACAGTCCCACAAGTACAGCTACTCCAAGGAAATAACAGGACACACTAACCGCTGATCTTAATTCTGGCATACATTCTTAGGTTTTAACAGAAGTAAAACCTCAGCAGTACCATTCAGTTGGGTGTTGGTCAATTAGTGTTTTGGTGGCCGCATATTGTCTGGTTTTGGTGGCCGCGTGTATGTGGATGGATTGTCACGGCCATCAAGGGTTGCTGTGTCCTCTGCAGCTGGTGGCTTGCCACCATCCAAGGTTACTGATATCACGGAAAACAAATCTGCAGCTTTAAATCCATAGATCTGGTGTACCACGGAAAGCTAAATCTGACGTTTACATTATTTTTCTGATTTTTAAAGGATTGGTTGAAACACAATTTAATTACAAAATCAAAAATTTTCATTCGGATGGTGGGGACGAATATGTTACTCTTCGTTGTTTTTTATCTCAAAAATGGCATTTCCCATTTCACCACCCCTCCATATACCTCCGAAACTCAATGGCATTAGTAAGTGTCAGAATCCACATATAGATGAAACTGGACTCACACTTCTCCACAATGCCTCACTTCCATCCAAATATTTGTCCTATGCTTTTCAAAAGGCTGTCTACCTTATGAATCGGTTGCCTTTGTTGGAGCTGTGGTGTCAAAGCTGCACAAGAGGCAGCAAATGGAAAGAAAGCTGCACATGTGGCAGCAAAATGAAATGAAGGGAGAGCTGCACCAAAGCACGCTAGCAGCAAAGTGCAGCAACCTATGCTGCAAAATGTTGATGAAATGTTGGTGAAATGAGG